AGTCGAAATTTTTACGACCAATTTCTACACCTCTTGTTCGATCAAAACCAGTCGGTGTATGCATATCCAAGCGAACCTCACCAAAACGATAATAGCTTAACTTATACATTAAACAATTGAGCATTGTTTGAGATGCTTCTCTGTCGACACGATAATCCCCCTGAAAATAAGAAGAAGGTATATATATATATGGAATTAAGTGGGGATTTCTCAGCCTCAGGATGGTCGGGGGTGGGTGCCTTGCGCTGCGGGTTGGCCACCCCTCCGTACACCTCTTGAAATGCTCCCATATGACCGGGCGTCTTACATAGCCTCTCCTGAGGAAGTCCTACTCACTGCCTTCACGTGGCGGAGGTGTTTATTTCGCCGAAGTGAGAGGGCAAAAGCGGATGCCCGGCGCTCTTCACCGGGTTGACTGTCCATTGGATGACAGTCTAGGGAGATGGCTAAACCCTGATTCCAAACCTCCAACAACTGGCGTATGAAGCTCACCGGCAGACGTGTGGACAAAGGGCTTATTGGATGCCCTGGATGTCTGGCCCCATTCAAAAGGCATATGAACCGGACTCCGGTCACCGGCTGACAATGGATAGTGGACTCCCTACTCCACTCCTACTGCCTTGTAGGTCACACTTGGTTGTGTAAAGGCTAGAGCTGCACTCTGAAACAAAAGGCCGAGCGATGCTGGTGACGTCACTCGTACCAAATTCCCATGAAACTTCATGAACTCTGTACAACATCAACCAAATTCCAGTACTGGTCCAACAACGTCGCCTTCGGTGGTTTGGCCATGTTCTGCGCCGACCAGATGACGATCTGGTCAAATCAGTTCTAAATCCCTCGCCATTACCATCTTGGCGATGTCGCAGGGATGGACAGCTGAAAACATGGCTTGGTACAGTCAAGGCTGATATGGAGTGACTGGGCTGGGGCTACAAACCGTCTACGGACTCCGTCTGTGGAACGAGAATTGGATAACCCTGTCGCAAAACCTTGCATCAGATGGCCGCGCCTGGGCAGCGATGATTCGAGATGTTCATGAAGTTGGCTCATCCTCCCGTAGGAGATAGCCGAAGTAAAGTAAGTAAGTATGTGGAGATAAGGTTGTCTTCAGTGTTTGAGTGAAATCATTTCAACTACCATACGAAAAACACATTTAACCAAAGTATAAAAATCTGTGTGAGAGAATCAATAAGATTGAAGTAAAAACACAGTTTGTTTTTGTTCAGTGAAGAAATTTCTTTTCAACGACTTCATTTTCAAGCAACTGTACAGTCGTATTTATATTACAGGAAAAGGTTATTAAGTGGTACTAAATAATTGCTCAGTCAATATACATATTATATAAGTGATAAGAATAACGATAATTAAAGTGTTCACAGGGCAGTATACTAACTTCAACAGTCGGGTACCTTTAGGGAGAAAGAGAAATCTTATTCATTCCTTATGCTCCAGAATTCGTAAAATCTGCTCTGCAGAGACAATCGATAGGGAACTAGATAACCTTCGATCAAATCCCTTTAACAATGGTTATCCCACAAGGTTCATTGAACGTAACATCAAGAAAGAATCCGCCCAGAGACAAGTCACAGTACCAAAAAAACTGTTTATGAGTCTGGCGTTCAAAGGTGACACCATTTCAGAATTGATTAAAAATCGTTTATCTAAATGTGTTAAACGCACTTTTCCTGCAGCTGACTTGCATCTAGTTTTTACCAGCCGAAATATGATCAGACAATGCGTCAAGGATAGATTACCGCTTTTGTCCACATCTATGTGCATTTACTCGTTTACCTGCTCTTGTGGAGCTGATTGTATTGGACGTTGTAGGCGTAATCTCCGAAAACGTGTAGCTGAACACTATCCGGTTTGGCTAATTAATGAAAGGCGAACGTAGAACTGCGAAGTCGTCTATTTGTGATGATCACCTGTTAGAGTCTAATCATTTAGCCCGACGTGATTCATCTTTCAAAGTTATCTACATGGCAAAATCGAATCGATCCAAAAGTTTACGTTTTCTTCACTTAGGTATAGCTAGCCGAAGCTTTAGCTATACATGAACAGAAACCTAAATTATGTGTTCAAAGACGTTTTGTCAAACCCCTTTCTTTACCTTGGTTATAACAACGTTTTTTCTAGTTTTTATTTTATTTTACCACTTGAATTCTTTCCAGTCCACTTCACCTCACATCTTCATCCTTATCGTAATCGTACTCGTAATTTTCAAAATTTTTAGACAACACTTGACATTTTTGTTATAAAACAATCTTTAATATTTTTGTAATTTATCCACTTCAACTCTACCCCTTATAACTTTTATCACATATATACGTACATTGACTGAGCAATTATTTAGTGCCACTTAATAACCTTTTTCTGTAATATAAATACGACTGTACAGTTGCTTGAAAATGAAGTCGTTGAAAAGAAATTTCTTCGCTGAACAAAAACTGTGTTTTTAATTATAAATAAATGGGTATTTTTCGTGATTTAAAAGATTGAAGGTGCGTCGGTGGTATAGCGGTTAGGAGGCTCGCCAACCAGGCACATGGTCCGGAGTTCGATCCCCGGCCAACGCCGCATTCCTTTACCTCGTTAAGCCAAAAATAATGCTGGTGGAGAGGAAAGGGTGGGCATGAGGCTAGCAACCCCATCCTGTAAAATTAAACACTGCTACAGAACCGTCAAGCCACTAGCTTGAAGCTCTGTGTTCCACTGGGGAACGTGAAGGAAAAAAAGATTGAAGTATGCAAGTTAGTTATTAGAAGTGCAGAAGAGACAATTCCTTGAAAGAGGACACTGTGGGTGATCGGGTAGCCTTCATAGCTGACTTCAGAATGTCGTCTATGGTAAGTTTGAATAGAGCATTAGGAAGACAAATTTAGCGAGATGATATCATTTCGTAGTTTTTTTACAACCGCTTTATAACTAGCAACATGGTTGACAATAATAAAATAAAGATCATGACAATTACTCAGTTAAATAAAAAACAAAAGTACATACTAATGACCAATCATATTTAGATAGGTCATGTAGTCCAGGGTGGGTGAAGATTGAAGTCTCTTGATTTTTGTACACACAGTTTAGGCTGTATGTGATAAATTCTAAGTGCTTCCATTACCTTCAATAACCTTGAATTAGAGTTATGTGAAATAATTGTGAAACAGTCATTAATATTGATTTTTGTGACCTGACATTAATAAGTGTTTTGCAATGGATGATGCTGGATTTCTTTTCAGATTAATCGCGTTGGGATTTTCGATATGATTTAGTAGCCATTTTGGAACATGTTCTTTTCGACGACATTGGAATGCTCTGTTGGTTCTATCTATATACGTGTCACGCAGCTGCAGGTGAACTTGTAGATACAGTTTGAAGTAGAGTCCACAGAATTTCGTCCTTTAATCGTAGGTACAGGGATCGAAAATATTCGGCAAATGAGAAAAAGAGATAAGGAGTAGAATGCGCGTTTGATGGCTGACCGAAGTCTTTGAGCTGTCAACTACATAATCTGGTCGCCCTTGAATGGTAGGTTAATAAAGATAGCTTTCTTTGGTACAGAAGCTGTCTTTTCGAGACTTGATCTTTCTTTACTGTGACAAGTGATAAAGTTTTCTGGATAACCATTAGCTAATAAAGTTGAATGTATATGTCGAAACTCATCCATCAATGTATCAATCGTGCGTATTTTTCGGGCCCTTGAGAACAAACATTTCACTAGGGAACGTTTATACTGGATAGGAACAAAACTGGTAAAATGAAGACATTGTCCACTCCATGTCTATTTACGAAAAATAGATCGTTGAATCGTTCTATCATCTCTCCTAGTCATAGTAATATCCAGGAAACCGAGTTTGTTATTCGACTCTGGTTCAGAAGGTAAGGTTAAAGCGAAATGAAGGGACTAGGCAACCCTGTCTAACCCCCACTGTTGGTTAGGAACCGTGATGATAGTTGGTTGTAAGCCCTGACTCTGCCTGAGGTGCTTTTGTATAGGGCTTTCAGGATGTCGACAAACTTCTCAGGTACACTCCTCTCTAACAGACCATTCCAGAGAACAATTCTATCCAACGAATCGAAAGTAGCCGTAATATCAAGAAACACAACGACTGTTGGCCTGCAATACCTGTGGAGGTGTTCCACCAACTGATGAAGGGTGAATATGCAGATCAATGCACCCACCCCACAGCCAGAATGAAACCCAGCCTGCTGCTGACGAATCGACTCCTCATGTGTTTGCTAGAGCCTGCAAAGCAAGACTGCTGCCAATATTTCAGACAATAATGGCTTCAGTTCACACTTTCCTGAACAAACCAGTTAAAGCCATGGCGAGAATCTCGCCACATTCTCTAAAAAGAGCGCCGGGGTAAATTTTCTGGATGGGGTGCCTTACGGTCGATACTAACCGACCAAGAAGCACTGTAGGGGATGACTATGGAAGTTGGTGCTGGTGGCCAGTTAAACTGCTTCTCAAATGCTTTGCACAGCTTTCCAGGAGTCTTTTCAAACTGGTAATTGGCGTGCCATCTGTCTCTTACTGCTGGTGGTTCAGATGAGCTGGAGAACAGAGTAATGAAGGTCTGTCTGGCTTTTCCAATCCTGTCTTTGACATCCCAATCCGTACCACCTCCAGCTGAAACGACGCTGCCCAAAAGCAAGTGACAGAAGTGACTTCACTTGGATTCCTCCCGTTGATGGTGATTGGTACCCATTGTTGTTGGTTAGGCAGCTTCACCCTCTGTGTCTTTTCCATACCCACAGCTGAAGTCTTGTCTTCGCTGACTCTTCTGCCAGCTTGTTGGTTGTCGGTTGCATATCTCCAAGTTTATATAACATTAGGCATAAATCACCTATGAAGTCTAGATCTCTTAAATCCTTCTGGAGGAGCAAAGTATGATCGTTTCCTTGCTCCCCACAGTCTGTTACATGACCCAGTTTCCCCAACATGATTAGGAATATCATCGATGATCATAGGTAGCCTCTTATCCTACTCTTGTCTTCTCGTCAAACGCTTAAATGAGCTTTCTAATATGAATCACTTGGCATGTAACATCATAAGGTTTGGGGGTGAAGGTACAGTAATATTACATCCTCAAGTAACTCAACATACCTTATATATTATACATGTATCGTTCTGACTTCTTATACTACCTTTATTTTCCTTTAGTTATCTTTTTCTTGGCTCTATGTTGATGTTTTGGTGAAAGGTTTAGTGACTTGGACGCTTAAACAGTTAAGTGTTAATTACGACTTATTTCTGTCTGTTTTGTTTCGTTTGTTTATTTCAACGTTATTATTATTTCTTTGGGTTCCGAGTGGAAACATAGGGCTTCAACAACACATTTCCACTTTCTTCTATTTTCTGCTGTCCTCTGCAAATGACTGAGCACACGATTATGCCCATCATTTATCATTTCCTCCCCCCGCCCCCCCCCAACACACGATCTCCTCCATATCACCGTTGCATTGACCCACCCACTTGTCGCTTTCCATCCAACTTCCACTCGAGCAATGGCATGCATTGAGCGCTATGTCATTCGACTGACAGCCTCCTCAGTGGCGTATGTCCAACCAGTTTATCTCCATTTTCTCCTACATATTTGTTGAGCAATCGGCTCTTCGGTGGTTTCATCCACTGTAGTTTCTTGTTAATAATTCTTTCTGGCCAGCCAGCTTGTGCCGGCTGGCAATCTGATCTTCAGTATTGAGGCGGTGACGCTGGCAGTTGTTGATAAAAGTCTGTAACTGGCTGTTGCAAATACTTTTCGGGACTCACACGCCGAGCAAGTTTCTCACCCGTATACAAAAACTGACTGACTGACTGACTTCACATTTGTGTTGAATAGAATCCGAATCTATCTTGTTTTCATGCTGGCTGGCTGGCTGAGTGAGTGAGTGAGTAAGTGACTGAGTGAAGTAGAAGATTTCCAAACTGGTTTCAGGTTGATGAGGTTGTGTCTTGCCTTTCGGATTCTGGCTGGCCAGTTGGCCATGACATCTTCATCCATGCCATCCGCCTGTGGTTGAAACAGTACTGGCTGCCTAGTCAGATAAGGGAAGGTAGAAAGTGACCTCTGGCAAATCTCTCTCTCTCTCCTGTTGATGGTAATTGGGGCTGGTTGTTGTTGCTGTTGATTGATTGGTTGTCTTTATCACCTCTGCGCCTCCACCACCTCCACGTTCACCTAGAGTCAGTCCTATCTTTACTGTCCGCTCCTTCAGCCAGTTTGTTGGTTTTCGCCCGCTGTGTGTGTGTGTGTGTGTGTGTGACATTAAACATGAATCATCCCACAAGCGAAATCCATATCTTCTAGAGTCTTATTTTCAGGTAGTACAGAGTATTCCTGTCTTCTCACTCACCCTCTGTGCACACACAGTCTGACGCATAATCCAGCCTACCACAATTAAGAATATCAGCGGTGACAATAGACAGCCTTGTCCTTCTCCTGTATTCACTTCAAAGCCGGGCTTCACTGAGTTTTCCGTTGTGGATTATTTGACACATACTGTTATCATGTACCTGTTTTGCCTGAACACATACGACTACCCAATGTGAATAAATTTTGAAAATCTACACCAAAAGACTCTAGCATAAAGATATATGTATATATAAGCGTAAATTTGATTCACACGTATTTGTATGCCAATTTACTATATAACAAGTCAAAACTAGTTACAACATGTAATATATCTGTTATAGAGTAAAATCAGTATATACTCGTCGACTGACAATTATTAGTTTGGGTTGTTTATGTGTGCGTGCGGATGTGTGCGTCGGTCAAGAAGCAGCAAGTTGACACTTATTAGTTAAACTTAGGTTACTCAATAACCAATTGTAATTCCATGCAGTTGGCAATGAACTACACCTATTGCGTATGAGGACCAGTGATAAGATTTGACTGCCCAAACCTCAGTAAGTGGAACACAGTAATCACCTGGAAAGCTCTGTATGCTTATATGAAAATGAGTGGGCGGGTTGTTACTTCTCGGTTCCTCACACCGTGGATGTTGATTTCTTCTTAAAGTACCTGAGGCAGAAGGTGAATTACTATTGCGTCACCGTAGAGCCCAGAGGACAACGCTCGGGGCCAGTCACAGACTGTCAGCTTGAAGTGATTTTTAAAGTGACGTCCGACTACGGGGACCACCGCAATGTGAGACGGGACGTATGCTTTTCGAGGCCGACTTTTTTTGACACCTCCTCTCCAAAGCGGTAGTAGGGTAGCTAGAATGCTGGTTATTTGAGGGGAGCACCTTACTGCCGCTGCATCCCTATTCCCCAGCAGTAGGACTTCGCTCACATACTCTCAAAATGCTGCAAACTATATACTAGGACGGTAACTGCATTTACTCTAACCGCTATCCGACCAACCTTTCTGGTATCATAAGACCTGTAGTTCTTTGGATCACCACAATATGCAAGCCAAACCCCCACCACATCAAAGTACCAGCTATAAGACGGATGGAGACGGGTTAGAATCCATGACCCACCGATTACAAGCTAACAGTGTAGATGAACGAGCCAGAGGCCAACGGAAAGTGAGAAAGAAAGCAGTAGTTCGGAATAATAGTAACAAAAAGACAACTCACATTTGACGTAAGGAAATCTTGTTCACGAATTTCATTTGGATGTTCACCACCGCCAATACGTACCATCCATAAAAATTTATTGATATCGTCACCACTATAACCAATATAACCGCCAAATATAACGAGTACATAGTCAACATCTAAACTTTGAATTGTCTAAAAACAATGGAATAATAAAAGAGGATATGAGAAAAAAATAAGGTAAGAATGAATAAAGGATTTTATTGGGGAAGAAAGCAGTTTTACATTTGACAGCAGCAAACAGCAGTCGTCGAATTATTGTCGGAAAGGGAAGAAAGAAGAAAATTGCAGTAATTCGCCATTTATTACGATTACTTGGCCATACCAGATAAAGTTTCGGACCACCGTCGATTTAAGCTATCTCTCGGACCCCAACTAGGGAGTCATGACGCGCCAGCCGACGCTAACCTAGCACATATATCCTTCATCCCACGACGCCAAGTCATGGACTGACCACATAATCGTTTTTTCCATCCCGTCCCAAGACTGGCTGGAGAACAAAGACAGGTTCGGGAGTCTCTGGGAAGATATTTGTAGAACATGTCCAAAACACCGGAGCTGGTGTTTTATGAAGACGACACTCAACGAATGGTGACCCCACTGTGTCTAAACACACGCCACCGGACCTCAGAATTGCTCACACGATGTTATCATCGGACGCAAGCAATTCTACGGAGATAGCCATGTTCGAATACACAGAGTCACAGCACATCCTTATCTCGGAGAGGACAGGCTCCGCAGGTGTAGAGCGAGACAGCGGGCACTGAAGCATTTGTAAACTCAACCTGTCATATCCAGGCTAACGCCGCGACAACGCCAGACCGGAGGTGGTTCAAGTTGACGTATGCCAACCTAATTTTCATGATACAGTTGGAAATCTCGTCCATCATACCTCCGCCAGCACTCACACAATGCGATTTATCTATTTGAACATACTCTTTGATGTTAGAGACAATACTATCCCACAGTTCAATACTGCATTGGCAACAGTATACTGTTTATATTTGAACCTTCTATTTCTTGTTGTTTGATGCAAACCGAAAGCACACACAGTGATTAGTTAACGAACACAAACTGTAGATATATATAAACAGCGGTTTAATTAATGGAAAATATACCTTGGCTCCCGTATCTTGCCATCTGTTGCTACAAGATAACATTGCCTGTTGTCGAGGAAGGCTAGACATGCGTAGCACATGTCCCCATTACCATCTCTCTTAATCGAATCAGCCAGCTTCACAACCTCGTCGACTGATTTCCCGCCCTCCTCACTTACGTGACACTCGATCGATGCCTCACCTCCTTATACCATCTAGCATGAGAGATAGAACAAAGACACCTATGATCAAAGACAGCTACCCTTTTCATGTCTTCAACTTTCAATGGGGACTATATGTCACACCACAAAGGAGGATGGAGCGAACTGTCTCTGAGCAGTACACCCGTCCTTTGGTCGACAGCCGGCTATCATATCTAGTCAGCCAGAGATAGGTTAGTAGGCAGGAAAATGCCAAACGAGCTTTCTGTATCCATGCTCACATTTCGTCAGCGATCAACCCGTTGGCGTTGGCTGATGGAACTTCCTAAATAAGTGAAGTGGTCAACACGTCCCACCAACCACTTCACTCCTGCATATCTTTAAGCTAGAAGTGGATCGATATAGTCCAGTCCAGTCCTGTAGCATCGTCTTACATTTGACAACAGGAGCGAATCGTATGCCAAACATTCAAAAAATTTTTACTACTGAAAATTCAAAACTTTAAGCTCCATATATACTCCACTCAAAAATACAAAAAGCCTTCTACCTTATAGGCTTCTGATTCATTTGATGCCATAGCTTTACCTACTAAAGCAATATGACTATTATTCCATGTATTATTATCGACAAGAGTTGTTCGATTCGCCATTCCAGCAATTTGATAACCATAATCCCACCAGGACATAACACGAGCATCTGGTTTAGTATTTTGCCATAACCAGAAATAGGCTTCACTGTGGAAAGATAAAAGAAAAGAAAAAGCAATTAATTGTTAGCAATCATTCAATCACTTAATAATATTATCAACAAATGTCTGATGACAGATAAATGAAGAGAATATCCCTGCAAAGTGAATGCGTTTCGCGAGTTACATGTTTTCAGCAGCTGCAAGTCTATGTGATGTTTATTTGTCTCCGGGTAATCATTATTTGAGACACGTACAACACACCTAAAAAAATAAGAATTCTTAATATATTTGATAAAGCTGCCTTATTATCACCCACGATGATATTCTTAATTGTGGTGGACTGACTGGATTATGCGTCAGACTGTTAGGGGGCGACGAGTCAGGAATACGTTGAACGTCTGATAAGAAGACTTAAGAAGATCTCCATTTCGTTTGTGGATGATTAATGTTTAATGCCTTCCTCGATGGGCAATGTTAGCTGATATAGGGTCAGGTCAAGTCAAAACATGGTACCAGTCAATGAAATCCACAACAGTTAGTTTAAGCTGGCCACGTAGGGAGGGAGGTGTAGACTTCCTGGTTGGGATCCTCGGGACGGTAAAAACCAATGAAGACTGAAAACAATTGGTGATATGGCTCAAAATCTTCGTTGTCAATGGCTGGTGCAGATGCATCCACTCCTCGTGACTTATGATTTCTAATGAAACTATACTGTTCTTCGTTATTACTATTCCTTTGTCTCACACGTCTGTTTACTGTCTCTATTATGCATTTCTTCTACTTTCTTCTCTTGATTTGTGTTCTACAAGGAGGGAGTGTGGCGACTTGAACTGGTGCACATCAGTGCAAAGTTCTACATCGAAAACAGACAGACAGACAATGTCACAGAGACTCGAAGACTTACAGGTAGGCAGGTGAAAACCAAAAAACTGGCTGAAGAGGCCAAAAAGACAGGGTTGCAGGTGAATATAGAGAAGGTGGAGACGGAGGTGATGAAGACAACCAACCAACCAACCACCACCGCCAACAGCAACAACAACAACCAGCACCAATCACCTTCAACGGGAGAGATTTAACACAGGTTACTTCCTTTACTTACCTGGCCAGAAAGCATCATTTTAACTACAGACAGTCAATGCTGAGCAGAATCGGAAAGGCAAGATTGCAACGCCTTCATCTACCTGAAACCAGTTTGAAAATCTTCTGCTTCACTCAGCATAAAGAACAAGATTCAAATTATACTTAACACAGACGTGAAGTTAGTCAGTTCTTGTATACGAGTGAGAAACTTGCACTGCACGTGAGTCAGTCACGAAAAGGATTTCCAACAGGCTAGTACAGACTCATCAACAGCCGTCAGCTTTGCCGGCTCCATACTAAAGATCAAATGGCCAGAAAGAATTGGTAACAAGACACTCTGCACTGAAATAAACCACCCAAGGGCCGAACGCTCAACAAATATGTAGGAGAAAATGGAGATGGGTAAGGCATACATTCAGGAGGCCGTTGAATGGCATCGCAAGCCAGGCCCTCGAATGGAATCCAAATGGGAAGTGACGAGTGGGTCGTCCTAGGGTGACACGCAGAAAATCATGTGGGGAGATAAGAGATAATGGTCAATCGTGGCCCCGGAGAAGAGGACAGCAGAGAATAGAAGAATGCGGAAATGTGTTGTTGAAGCCCTATGTTCCACTCGAAACCCAAGGGAACAATAATATAATAATAGTATATTTAATGCTGTTTGAATGACCAGTTCAACAGTTTGTTAAAAGTGATACTTGTTTCCTGTGATCGATTCCCGTCCGATACACTCCTCTTCAGCTAGTTTATTGGCCGATAGTGTAGCAATTAGACTGGTGAACATGCAGGTCTAAACACCCATGGGAACTGGAAAACCCCAAGTCCAAACCTATGTTGTGTATAAGAGCTCCAGAATCCGAAAGGACCGAACAGTGTATGAGAAACCTGTTTTGATCATTAGTAACCATGGGGAACCTGACGCTGCTCCACTGCTATGTGGATTAAAAGAATTGTAGGAGGGTGGCGCTTTAAGACAAACACACTTGATTCGGTTTTTGGGCGGCCGGGAACTATGCCAGCTGTCGCACAAACTATGAGATTTCGTGTAGCGCATCTCTTGTTGCTCACAATGCACAAAGTTTGTGTTTTAATAAAAAAAATTAATAATAATTTCGTAATTTCTTGTTTATTATAATATTCCTATAAATACAAAACTGTATTATTGTGTTAAATATTTTTTGTCGTTAGATGCACCCCGACAAGATTTATCCCAGAACATTCTTTAGCTGGTGAAGAAACAGTTTCTCTTGAAATCTAATATCTGAAAGAGCTGAGTAGCTTGTGCAACACGTTGCAACTGCACACACGAGCACTGCACTGCACGAGCATTTGCGTCCCCATCTCTATTTAGAACCTTAGCGAAAGTTATTCACCACAATACTCATCTATGATAATGACGTCTTTTTTAGAGGGATTGTCAGAACTGTCAACTAATTAACACTCTTGCGGAACACAGACCCATGTAAACATTCACTCTTCCTACTATATGAAGGTCTCAGCATAAATTAGAGGAACCTGAAAGAAACAACCTCCTTTACTTACCTGGGAAGCATCGTGTCAACTACAGGTGGGACTGACGATGTTAAAGCAAGAATCGGAAAAGCAAGACAAACTTTCATTACTCTCAAGTATGTGTGGAGATGAACATCACTACTCAGCATCAAAATAAGATCCGGATTTCCAACTCCAATGTGAAGTCAGTCAGTGCTACTATACGGATCAGAAACTTGCACTGCGCGTCATAAAGAGCATCTCAAACAAACTTCAGACCTTCATTAACAGTTGTCTTCGCTCAATACTACTCAAGATCAGATGGCCGGCCAGAAAAGATCAGCAATAGAGATCTCTGGCAATGAGGGAACCAACCCAGCAGGAACCGATTGTGAAAAAAATAGGCAGGAAGAAATGGAGATGGATTGGAGGCCATACTCTCAGGAAACAAACCATCAAGTGACATCACTAGACAAGCCCTCGAGTGGAACCTGAGTGGGAAGTGGCAAGTTGGTCGTCCAAGGGTCACTTTGAGGAGGTCATGTGAAGAGGAGATGAAAGCATGTGGGCAGACTTGAAGCCAGGTGAAAACTTTAGCAGAGAACCGAAGGCAATGGAGACTTGGGCGGCTGAAGCCCTATGTTCCTCTAGAAATTAAAGGAAATAATAACTATTTGAAGGTTAAGTGACAGAAAATAAAGGTCAAAGTTCTATTCGGAAAAATCACATGAGGAGGGAAAAATACCTACTAGCTGTCTTCAAAAAGAATGGATATCCCCTTCACAATTTCATCAAAAAGTTTTTAAACTCGAGTCATAACACCACCACCAACCAACAAGCCAACATCAAAGACCACAAGAAAATTCATCCTACCATATATATAAAAAATATCTATGAAATAACAGCTACTTTAATTTTTTAAATATTTTTTATCACCGCTTGATTCCACACAGTATTTTGGTACAAAGTATGGAATTTTCAGCATGTGATATCGGTAGCCCAAATGTAACAGGCCAACCATTTGAAATCAGATGTGCGTCGGTCGCGAATCGAAACCCGGACTATGTGTATGATCAGCGAGCGTCCTAACCACCGTCCACCGGTTCCGAGTGAAAGATAAGGCTTCAGATGTGTTAATTATCCATTTCACTCCGTTTTCTGCTTTCTACTTTGTTTAGCTGCCTCCCGACTACCCATTCGCTTTCATTTACTCCGCCTCACCACCAAATCTCCTCCTCCATGTCACTCTGGAATAGATCATTAATTCGCCGTTTACCAAAAGAGATTCTATATTTGGCCCTGTCTGACAGGTGATGCCGTTCAGACACCTCATCAGCTTATATGCTGAGCAATGAGTTCTTCGTTGAGTTTTTGCCAGAATACTTTATCGCTTCCAACCATCTAATCTCCAGTATAGAGACAGCAAAAGCAGCTGTCGATGGACGTATGCAGTAGTCTGTTAGAAATAACTCCGGTATAACCAGGCCCACAGGATGGAATCTCTTTTATCCTAAGAGATGTTTACTACTTTAGATAAATTATTTCTGAATTGTTGGTTAAACCTGACTGATTTCGAGTATTTTTAAATGTAAACCACAAAATCCACCTTTGGCGTATATTTTTCGTATGAATCTATATACTACTGAAAACTGTTGCGCTTATAAGTAGTTTACTGAATCCTACACAACAACAAAAAGTAGTGATACATCACTTAAAAATATAGTAATGCATGGAAAAGTCAACAAAATTCTGACATTCACATAGTAAAATCACTAGTAGACCATGCCCTGAGTCCATTTTATATTGCATTGTCAAATTGTAATTTTGATTTAAGGTATTCGAAAAATAGGTAGGTATAGACTGTGTAGCTTGAAGAAGTCTCAAAAAGGGCCTCCATCATAAGTACATGATGACCAGTTCATTACTAAAATGACTGGGCGGAATGGCAATCAAGACATTTCATAGGAATAATATTTGAGCACGGGACAGTCGGCTACAAATATTGGCTGACGTCCTAAAATCTACAAGAGAATCAGTCAGGTGCTTTGAGCTTCCGCTCCGATGCTCCGCAGGTTACCTCTAGGATGGTGTATCCATCAGGACGTCGAGCAGGCAGAAATCACACTCAGATGGATGAGTACAGAGGTTCACTCACAATAAGCCACTAGTCAGACAGTTTGAATTACAAAAGACAGAACATTACGACCGTTTGAAATAGATACAGCACACAAACCAGCCAGCCAGCACAATCACTTCATTCGACATTGTGCAGGTCGAAAGATCCAACAGAAAAAGATCAAATTAATACCATTTACAAAAGAATGATTACTGAACAAAGAATACTCCTTTCGATAACTTTATCATCAGGTTCTACAATATTATGCATACATAATATTGAAAGAATTAGTGTTATTAACAGCATTTATGTTGTTTTAAATAACATCGAATGAACCAATAATAATATTATCAATGGATTACAGGTCGATAGCATTAACATAACACTGCACTACACTGAATATCAGAGAAATTAAGAAAGATAATACAAATTCATGAATTTATAGTCTCCATTGAAGGCCGGTCAGGGCAGTAGTAGTGGCTAGCTGGACTTGCATTTTGTGCACACAGAGCATTGGTCGTTTCAGGCGGATCGAATCGCGATAGCCTCTGCTGTTCGGAGCATGCCGTACCTGGATGATTTTGGCAATTTATCTGATACTGGGTAAATGATAGGGGATTCTTCAAATGCTGGCTGGCTTTGTGGCCGGTTTGGACCAGGTCCTCTAATATCGAACTGCTGATAGTTTTTACTACACCTTTACTTAGTCATACTGGGAGATGTTCTCGAGCACGAAAAATCAAGTTCCTAAAGAGCAACGGCCAATATAACTCCCTACACAAGCGCAACACCATTTACAAACTACAAATTGCATGCATGAACTGCAATAAACATTACATAGGTCAAAGTAGGCTTCCCCTTCGAATCCGAATCCAAGAACACAAGTTAGCTGTGGAAAGACATGACATGTATTCTTTCCTAACGACGCATGTAGATAATTATGGACACCAATTTGGTTGGGATAAATGTATGCATTTTCAATAAAGGAAACACCAAAGATACAGTCAGAGAATTTCTAGTAGCCTGGTACTCAAGTTAATCAGTCAGCGATTAACAAACACACAAATTACTATAGACCAAATTAGTTTGTTTATAAAATTCTGTCTGTCTGTCTTCGACACAGAACTTTGAACCGATGTGCACCAGTTCAAGTCGCTACACCCTTCTTGTAGCACACAAATCAAGAGAAGAAAGTAGAAGAAATGCATATTAGAGACAGTAAACAGAGGTGTGAGACAAAGGAATAGTTATAACGAAGAACAAAACAGTTTCACTGGAAATCATGAGTTACAAGGAGTGGATGCATCTGCACCAGCCATTGACAACGAAGATTTTGAGCCATATCACCAATTGTTTCCAGCCTTCATTGGTTTTTACCGTCCCGAGGATCCCAACCAGGAAGTCTACACCTCCATCTCTACGTGGCTGGCTTAAACTAACTGTTGTAGATTTCAATGACTGGTACCATGTTTTGGTTTCACCGCCGTTAGCTCTTCTCCAGCCTGACCCTATATCAGCTAACATTGCCCATTGTCGAGGAAGGCGATGACTAGGCATACGTAGCACATGTCTTAACCATCTCAGTCTATGTAATTTCATAGCCTCTTCGATTTATTTCTCCTCCTTACCTACCACTCGACCAATGCCTGACGTCAATATTGCTCACCTTACTATACCACCTCACACAGGAGATAGAACGCAGGCACCTCTGATCAAAGACAGCTAATCTTTTCATGTTTTTCACTCTGAATGGCCAGGTCTCACAGCCATAAAGGAGGACGGAGCTGACTGCAGCTGAGCAATACACCCACCCTTTGGTCGATAGCCGGATATCATGTCTACGCCAGAGACGGCGTGGACTGGCATATGCGAAACTAGCCCTCTGTATCCGTGCTGAGATTTCGTCAGAGATCAACCCGTTGGCACTGGCTGATGGTACTTTCCAAATAAATGAAGTACGCGGTCAACGTGCTCTACCACTTCACTTCCTATTTCTAAACTAGGAGTCAGTGTAGTCCAGTTCAGTCCTGTAACATGATCTTACATTTGGCGGGAGCGAATCGCATTCCAAACATTCGTAGACTGCAGCTCAAGGTGTTTAGAAGACTCTTCTTAGCATATATGATTCATATTTTCACCTGTTTAGAAGTGATCACACGATGGGGGACAAACATATTGAGGTGAATGTGACAGAAGAGTACAGTCTGTTTCTTCATATTACCTATCTACCCCTCATACATCGAACAATATGACATGTATTGCTAGAGTAACTCAACGGGATGGAGTGAGTTGCTAGAGAATTCGTATATTTGCAGATTGACTGTACAATTAGCTTGCTAATAAATTCCTTGAGAAGAATCTTATCGATGAAAATTGTGTTGTCAGTGTTTATACGCTGGGAAATATCGAAATATACCAAAAACTAAGCTAACGAAGCAGCTGGTTTTTCAGTAGTTCTCTAACTGATGTGTCAGCTAATGATGAAATCCTCCATCCAACTACCACCAGATTACTTCAAGAAAATAACTACACTACTGTGACTAAGTAGCATGATTGATAAAAGTTCCATATGTGATAGGAATTGTGCATCGGTGACACAGCGGTTAGGACGCTGCTCGCCACCAACCATACACCATGCACATGGTCCGGGGTGATATGAGTAAAGGAGAATGATGCTCAGGAAGGCTTCGAGTGCTTTTGGAAGTGTGTGGGCCGTTGTTACTTCCCGGCTGCCCATACCGTGAAAGGTGTTTGACTCTTCGGATACCTGAAAGAGAAAGAGGGTTAGTGTTGCGTGACCGCAGAACCCAGGGGACAACTACTTGAGGCCAGTCGCACACAGCCTGTATGAACTGGTTTCTGGAATTGGTTCCGTATTAGTAAACTTACTGCCGGTTACGGACCACCGTAGATTAAGTCGGGATGTACAATGTTTGGGGTCGACCTTTTGTAAATCCCTCTCTCCGGAGTGGAGAGACAACATAGCTGGCATGCTGGTCATCTGAGGGAAACACCTCACTGCTGTTACACCCCTGTTCCCCAGCAGTATGACTTCACCCTTAAACCCCCAGCATAGTGTAAGAAAGATTCTTACACAATGCCGGTAACTGCTTTTTGTCTAATCGCTATCTTAACAACCTTCCTGACATGGTACGACCTGCAGGAAAAGTTGTTTCAGCTAGTGCAGCTTGTTGGGTCATCGCGATGCGCAAGCCCGACCACCACGTCAAGGTAGCAGCTATCGGTCGATCAGTCCGGGGTTCGATCCCTGACCACTGAACGCAATCCTTTACCTCGCTAAGACAGAAATAAAAAATGCTGTTAAAGAGGAAAGGTTGAGAGCATGAGGCGGCTAGCAACCCCCTAATCCTGTAAAAATAACCACTACTGCTACAGAAACTTCAAGCCTCTAGCTTGAAGCCCTATGTTCCACCACTGGGAACGTGAAGGAATAAAAAAATGTGGTAAATACAAATCATATGTAAGTGGTAGTAGCAGAACAACCTACCGGAAGTCATCCAATATATACCGAGATCCATCTTTCCCGTAGGAAGCTAATACAATTGATGGACTTGAATAGGCATTAGATGATACCCAGACACAATGTGAAACAAACAGATACAAAATGAATATGATTAACACATAGGCAACTGCACGTAGATTGTTGCCATTTGCTGGTGGTGACTGTTGAGAGGATCGATTGGTTGCAGTAGTACTTGATGAAGTGTCTTGATCGACAGAATTCTACCGGAAAGAAAGAGGAAAATAAACATCAGCTTTTATCTATTACTTATTAATATTAAGGCAAACACATTAAGTATAGATTTAAATATCTTGTCAAGTATTGATTTTGTAGGGATTTCGTTTGATTGGTTGGAGGATTTCATCTTGAGCTGACATCAGTTAGAGAACCATTGGAAAACCAGCACTGGAGTACTGGACAGATGTTTCGTCAGCCTAGTTTGGGACTCTTCATCAGTACGCACCCACACCAGTGACAGGGTTCGAATCCAGGCTTTTGGACTGACAGGTCCCAGTGACTTAATGATCTACGAGCTAGTTCGCCTTGTAACTAGAAGGTCCTAGGTTCGAACCCCGGCAATGGGTGCGTACTGCTGAGGAGTCCACCCGGTCTTCCAATGGTTCTCTAACTGATGTCAGCTCATCATGAAATCTTCCACCCAAATAAATGTATTGAACATACTGGTCAAGAATATCCCACTTTGAAAAGTAAATCAAAGCAAAACTGATTTACTACAGTATGCTGTTTGCTTAATATTACAGTAGATTACAATTAGTAGAAGTGAGTAAGTAAGGAAATTCAAAACATTGAGAACTGTTGTGCACTACTGGTATTTGCAATGACCTGTGTTAGTAGTTGAAGTTATGACATTGAGCGTGGTGCGTATTGTTATTGTTTGAATTCAGGTCTTTCATATTCCAGACTATGAGCCACACTTTCTAAGTGAAGGCTAAGTGGGGTGTAATTCGAACTTTGAACTCACTGGTCAAAAGTCGAGTGCTTAAACGAGTGAGCTAAACAAGATCAGAATAGAGGTAAGTGATGGCTGTGTTGCATATTCTTGTCATTCACAACTGTAAAATTAAAGTTTTTCTGAAGTATTTTTTATGTGACCGTCAGTATATATATATATAGTTATTTCCCTGGGTTCCGAATGGAATATAGGGCTTGAACAATACATCTCCATTTTCTTCTATTCTCTGCTGTCCCCTTCAGCTGGGGCCACGAATGATCAAAATTTCTTATCTCTTGGCACGATCTCCTTCATGTCACCCTCGAACTGATATTCCACTCATCACTTTCCATTCGGATTCCACTTGAGGCAAAGCCTGACTCGCGATATCATCCGATGGCCTCCTCAATGTATGCCCGATGAATCCATCTCCATTTCCTCTTACATATTTGTTGAGCGGTCGGTTTTTGCTTTGTTGGTTTTTTCATCGCCAGAGTTTCTGGTTGCTAATTCTTTCGGGCCAACCGGTTGGGTAGCCATTTTATTTACAGTATGGAGCCGGTGAAGGGAGGCGCTGTTGATAAACGTCTGTAACTGGCTGTTGAAAATCCTCTTCATGATGTGCAAGCCAAGTTTCTGACCCGTAGAGATGAACTCATTGACTGACTGACTGACTGACTTCACATCTGTGTTGAGCAGAATCCGAATCTTGTTCTTTATGGTGGCTGAGTGGAGCGGAAGATTCGCAACCTAGTTTCAGGTTGATCAAGGCGTATCTTACCTTTCCGATTCTGGCTGACCAGCTAGCCGGCTTTAACATCTTCATCTGTGCTATCCGACTGCCTGTCTGTGATTGAAACCATGCTGGCTTCCTAGCTGACTAGATAAGTAAAGGCAGGAAGTAACCTCTGTCAAGTCTCTCCCCCCCCCATTGACAGTGACTGGTGCCGGTCGTTGTTGCTGTTGGTTGGTTGGTTGATGACCGTCACCACCTCCGTCTTTTCCATGCTAATCTGGACTCCTATCTTCACTGTTGCTTCAGCCAGTTTGTTGGTCATCGCCTGCCTGTCTGTAAGTCTTCGAGTTTGTGTGACTTTAGACATATATCATCCATATGCGAAATTTAGATCTTCTAAAGTCTTCTTATCTGTCAGTGCATCGTATTCCTGTCTTCTCTCTGTGTACAGTCTGACGCATAATCCAGTCCACCACAATTAGGAACATCATCGGTGATAATGTGCGTCGGTGGCACAGCGGTAGAATGCTGACCAACCACGCATGTGGTCCGGGGTGCAATTCCCGGTCGATTCACTCTTTTACATCGCTAAGCTAGTAATAAGATTGGTGAAGAGGGAAGGTCGGGCATGAGGCTAGCAACTCCACTCCGTAAAAATAAACATCACTGCTTGTAGCTTGAAGCCCTATGTGCCACTGGAACGTAAAGGAAATTTTTTTCAATTGGTGATAACAGACAGGCAGCCTTGTGTCTTACGCCTGTCTTCACTTCAAAGCCAGGCTTCTCTGAGTTTCCCGTTGTGGATCACCTGACACGTGACAGGCATTGTTATATAACCAGCTGTTGCATGAGGTTGATAAAGACTTGGGCACAACACACCATAGTGTTAAAGCAGTTTCCAAATTACTTCTCGGTCAACGCTGTCTGTCGAAGACCTTTTCGAAGTCGATGAAGTTGTTGAGGTACAAGTTGAACTGCCACTCTATGCTTTGTTCTGTGATGACGATGCGTAGAATTGAAATTTGATCAGCACATGATTTGCCCATTTTCCGGAGAGCTGGTGGAGTTCTGCAACCAGTGCATCTTTCACTTTCACCAGGATGATGCGATTTAATATTTTACTTGGCGTGGACATGAGTATTATTCCACACCAGTCAGTTCTTGCATTGTAAGGCGTAAGTCACTTTCCTTTGGCAGCTTGACTAGGTAGCCAGCAAGCCTTTCTTCCAATCGGTAGGCACCTTTCCTTCTTTCCTTACAAACCTTTAGCAATAATGGCATGAGCATACATCTGCCGCAGTCTCTGGGTCCATTTTCAGTGCTTCCCCCCGGAGGGCGGGGGTATTCCGTCCGTATATCTTCTCTTTCCTTACAGTAAAATCTCTCAGTTTAAAGAAAACTCATACTAATTTATAAAAACAAAAGTTTAAATTACCTTTTTATTTCCTTTGCTCGGTTTATCATACAAACGTTTATCACCTGTAGAATTCTGTGCATCACCACTTGTATGATTATTCGCCGCATTACTACTACTATTCTCCAAATTATTTTCATCCAAAAATAGCTCGAAAACACGTGAGAAAGCGATAGCCGAGAATACACAGACAATCGGTGTCAGTGTGAGCATAAGCCGTACCATTACACCAGCAAAATATGATGCAAATATTGCATACAGAATGACAAAAACACGTTCATCGTTTAAATCTTTAAAGCAAAGTCGTACACCAGCTGGAAATGTAGCGATTAATATATGCAAATCAAAGAAGAAGGCAGCCCATGAGGTAGGTTGATGCTCAGAAACTGATGTAATAATTGGAATGTGAATTTTTGCATAACCTGTATCCCATAATGAATAAAACCTACAATGCAATTCACAAGTGAAGATAATTTGGTTAAGTTTTCAATGACAGTGTAAAGCATTTTATCGATAGCAAATTAAAGTACTTCAAGCTTATTGTTACAAAGAATAGAAATACATTTGTGGTATAAATTTTGGCAACTAGGGTGCAAAATGTCACCTGATTGACTGGCCTCAACATAGAAGTTTGCATCGATGTCCTCCGTCCTAACTGAGGTTACTAAAGCTGTCACTAGTCTGAAATGAGGCAAAACAGCAGGACTTGATGGAATGACTCCAGAGGTACTTAAGTACGGTGGAGACAATTTACTCTCTGCGTCAACTAAGGTTTTGCGCAGCGTCTGGAAATCAGAGGAAGTCCCATCGGGTTGGTGTAAGTCACTGATTATCCGCATAAACAAGAAGAGAGACAAGTCTTCCTGTGATAATCACAGAGGGATTAGTTTAATTAATATAGCATCTAGAGTCCTAGGCTCAATAATCATGCGTAGACTAAGTGGTCCGCTCTGTCCTCCTTTATGGTTGTGAGACCTGGCCACTCAGGGTGGAAGACATGAAAAGACTAGCTGTCTTTGATCATAGGTGCCTGCGCTCTATTTCCCGTGTAAAGTGGCATAATAAGGTGAGCAACATTGAAGTTAGGCGTCGAGGTAAACAGGGGAAATCAATCGACGAAGTCGTGAAGTTACAAAGACTGAGATGGTTAGGACATGTGTTACGTACGCCAAGCCATCGCCTCCCTAGATGAGCAATGTTAGCGGATATAGGGTCAGGCTGGAAAAAGCTAGCGGCGGTCAAACAAAAGCTTGGCACCAGTCAATGAAATCCACAACAGTTGGTCTAAGCCACGTAGAAAGGTGTAGACTTCCAGGCTGGGGTCCTCGGGACGGTAAAAATCTATGGTTGGAAACAATTGGTGACATGGCTCAAAACCGTTCTCAGTGGCGCAGATGCATCCACTCCTTGTGACTTAGGATCTCAAATGAAACTGTTTTGTTCTTCGTTATTACTATTCCTTTGTCTCACACCTCTGCTCACTGTCTCTATTATGCTTTTCTTGTACTTTCTTCTCTTGCTTCGCGTGCTACACGGAATGTGGCGACTTGAACTTCCGCACATTTGTGCGAAGTTCTATGTCGAAAACAGACAGACAGACAGACTAAGTGGTGCTCGGGAGGCACAAACAGGAGAGAACCAGGCAGGCTTTAGACCAGGAAGAGGGTGTATTGATCATATCTTTACCCTTTGACAGATTTTAGAATACAGGCATTCTTACCGGCGTCCAACTGTCATTATATTTCAGGATTTCATCATGAGCTGACATTAGTTAGAGAACCATTGGAAAACCTGGGAGTACTGGACAGCTGTTTCGTCCTAATTTGGGACTCTTCAGCAGTACGAACCCACACCATGGGGTTCGAACCCAGGACCTTCCGGTTACAAGGCGAGCTTGTATACCATTAAGCCACTGGGACCCGATCCAATGGTCCTTGAATTCTAACTTCTGCCAATTCACGACATAGCGCGACCGCTAGCCAATGTCTTCGGCGAGTATTTGTCCTCACACCCGACCAGCTGCACCCTACTGGTCACGACTTCCCACTGGAACCCGTACTGGAACACTTGAATACCAATGAGATGCTCACTGGCGACTGGCCCTATTCAGGTAGGTAGTTACCTGGGTTCCAGTGGGAAGTCGTGACCAGTTGGGTGCAGCTGGTCGGGTGTGAGGACAAATACTCGCCGAAGACATTGGCTAGCGGTCGCGCTATGTCGTGAATTGGCAGAAGTTAGAATTCAAGGACCATTGGATCGGGTCCCAGTGGCTTAATGGTATACAAGCTCGCCTTGTAACCGGAAGGTCCTGGGTTCGAACCCCATGGTGTGGGTTCGTACTGCTGAAGAGTCCCAAATTAGGACGAAACAGCTGTCCAGTACTCCCAGGTTTTCCAATGGTTCTCTAACTAATGTCAGCTCATGATGAAATCCTGAAACCAATCAAATCCCTACAAACCAACACTTGAATGTCATTATATTTCTTGACCTAAAGGCGTCATTCGATTCTGTCGACCGAGAGGTACTCTGGCGATGGTTGGCTATAAAGGGAATTCCGAGAAAATACAATGCACTGATCAAGGCACTCTACTCGTACTCATGAAGCCAGGTGAGAGGGCTTAGGACGAGTTGTCACCTGAAGTGGTGACAACTAGTGGTGTCCGTCAAGGACGCCCATTATCCCCATTTCTATTCAACTTCATCATAGATGTACTGATGGACTTAACCCTAACTCACATCAGAGACACAGGGATTGACTTGCTACGGGCAAGGAATAATCTCGTTAACTTAGAATATGCAGATGATATAGTCCTTGTAGGCGAGGACGCTGACAAAATGAGGCAGTCTTCTGAACAACTTCAGCTGCAATCTACGGATGTTTGGAATGCGATTCGCTCCTGTCAAATGCAAGATCATGTTACAGGACTGGACTACACTGACTCCTAGAGATAGGAAGTGAAGTGGTATAGCACGTTGACCGCTTCACTTACTTGGGAAGTACCATCAGCCAGTGCCAAAGGGTTGATCTCTGACGAAATCTCAGCACGGATACAGAGGGCTGGTTTCGCATATGCCAGTTAACGCTGTCTCTAGCGTATACATGATATCCGGCTATCGACCAAAGGGGCCGGAGAATAATATGGCTTCATTGGAAATCGTAAGTCACAAGGAGTAGATGATGCATCTGCACCAGCCATCACTGAGAACGATTTTGAGCCATATCACCAATTTTCTCCAGCCTTCATTGGTGTTTACCGTCCCGAGGACCCCAACCTGGAAGTCTACATCTCCCTACGTAGCTGGCTTAAACTAACTGTTGTGGATTTCATTGACTGGTGCCATGTTTTGGTTTCACCGCCGCTGGCTATTTACCAACCTGACCCTATGGCACCTGAAACTCCCGTTATCAGTAAATTACTCTTAAAAATCAATAAACCTAAGTCTGAGTTCAACAATTACAAGCAATTCATTCATGATGACAACAATTCAGTTGACCAAAAGCATCAATTTTAAAAAAATCACCTTCATTTATCAAAATTAAGAGAATTTATAATATAGTATTTTGTAAAGTATCAAAACTCTTCGCATATACACAAAACCCGCTGTTTAAATGAAATGTTTCCAGGGAAGGCTTAAGTTAAACTTTAAGCACCACTAACTAACTGCCAATGGAGTGCGACCGCATCAATGACTTTGAAACACTCACTGAGCAGGTTAGTGAAATCTGGCAAATAATGTTGTCATCATTGGTAAAATATGCTCATCGAAGTGTTATGCTATTAAATGGGATATCTGGCAGGTTTCAGCTTAGGTTTGGGAAAGATTAAGTTACACTTTAAGCCAAGTTAGGGTTAAGTTAACCTAATAAAAGTGACATTAGGGTTGGTTCGAGTTAGGTTCAGGAAAGATTGGGGTTATTGTTGGAGATAGAAGACCTAAATAATCACATGTATAGAGTGTGGTTAAATTACTCTGTTGGTATAAGAATAGAACCTCAGCACTGTGGTAGGATATAATTCCATTGTGGGTAACATTTATTTTGATAAATTCTCACACAGTGTAGTGTTATACAGTAATACTTACTGATGACAACGTTTCGAGCACAATTTATTGCTCAGTAAATATTATTGTTACACTGTGAGACTTAATCAAAATAAATTTTATCCACAATGGAATTATATTCCGTTGATACCCCAACCTAAAACTGAGAGCTATTTTTATCACATATGAGAACAAGGTATCCTCTTTAACAGTTTTCTACGGCTTTTATGCATAATTTCATAAATATATGTATTCCATACACAAAAATGCCTCCTTCACATGATTAGTGCATTCAAGGTCATTCGCTGATTGGTTGTAGTTAGTGGTGCTTAAAGTTTAACTTTGCCCACGGAAGAAATGATACACACCGTGTTTGCATGAAATATCAACTTCAACTTTATCCTTTAAGAAAATAGTTACCATCGATACCATAACTCTACCATTACGATAAGCGAACATCCGGACAACTAAAGAGGCTGTTACTTAGATTTCAGCAGGAGCAGCTGCGCAACTTTGACACGACTTAACATTAGCTACTCTCTCTGCATCATTTTTTCACTTTAGTCCACTTTCTTGTAATGACAATATGTCAAGAAGAAAGCACTACGCAATATAACTTTATTGGATAATTATGATGTGGCAAGCCTCGCAAACAGCTACAGCCAAGTCATAAATTATTATTATATCCCTTAATTCCTATAGGAACATAGGGCTTCAGCCGCCAAAGTCTCGATTGCGTTCGTTTCACTGCTAGAGTTTTCACCTGGCTCCAAGTCTGCACATATGCTTTCATCTCATCTTCACATGACCTCCTCCAAGTGACCCTTGGACGACCAACTTGCCACTTCCCACTCAGGTTCCACTCGAGGGCTTGTCTAGTGATGTCACTTGATGGTTTGTTTCCTGAGAGTATGGCCTCCAATCCATCTCCATTTCTTCCTGCCTATTTGTTTCACAATCGGTTCCTGCTGTGTTGGTTCGCTCATTGCCAGAGATCCCTATTGCTGATCTTTTCTGGCCAGCCATCTAAACTTGAGTATTGAGGAAAGACAACTATTAATGAAGGTCTGAAGTTTGTTTGAGATGCTCTTTATGGAGCGCTAAGTCTCTGATCCGTATGGCAAGTAGCACTGACTTCACACTGGAGTTGAAAATCCGGATCTTATTTTTTATGCTGAGTGCTGTTGACCTCCACACATACTTGAGAGTAATGAAAGTTGTCTTGCTTTTCCGATTCTTGCTTTAACATCTTCGTCAGTCCCGCCTGTAGTTGACACGATGCTTCCCAGGTAGGTAAAGGAGGTTGTTTCTTTCAGGTTCCTCCCATTTAGTCATAAATTAATACATACAATTGTTAATCGATGAGGTTGTGAAGCCTTGAGTGACACAACTAGGATAAATGCTACACATGCCGAGTCATAACCTTCCTCGACAAACAATGTCAGATGATAATAAGACTAATTTGGAAAAGAGTTATGGGTGGTTAGAAGAGAACACGACATTAATCTGTAGTGCAAATTTCAATGTTTTGCGCTTTACCGTTGTGCTGTTCAACACGCACATATTCCTTGAGTTTGCAGTAAAGCAATATCCGTTAGATAGGTTCAAGATCTTTTTCTTTGGATTATCTTTACCGTTTATTTAACTTAAATATATACGACACAAGATTAGAGCACATTTCCGTAATCTTCAAGTCTTTTTAACTTGCGTCTGGTCGTCAGTGTACTTACTGGTTAGGTAGAGTACTGAATTATTGGGTACATAGGTGAATTACGTTAAAGGATGGTAAATGTTCCGTCTAAGCTAGTACATTAAGAAGCTAAAATAATCTGGAATCATTCTGTGGTGAGAGGTAGCTGCAAGCCGAAAATTGCAGACAGCAATTTACGTCAAAGTTACTTCCCGAATTGGCGTCATGAGAAAAAAACACTAGCGAAGCTTAACACTGAGGAGCTCACCAACCAATCACAGCAGACTTAACGTGTGCAAATACGCATCGCAGATATATGGCTAAACTTTTTAAGAGAGTCACAAGCAGAACATAATAACCTTCAGCAAGAAAACAACCAATCAGAAGACGTTGCTTCTCTGATAACAATAACGCTAATAATAGTGTACATAAAAATCTATAAATATCTCTTGACTTTCTCAATAAACAATCTGTTGTCTGATTCTTGTTTTATGTCGTTACAATTCAACCCCTGCTTTTACAATCTGTATACTTTTTTATCTTACCTATTGTACCTTACTGCTCTCCTGCCCTTAATCTTTCATGGTCTATTGAAAAATGACTATGTCATTTTGAGAAGGGTACTAAAGGTTTTCAGTAGGCCAAGTGATGTGCAACTTAGTCCATCAGCTTGCCACTACATTAATCGAAAAACATCTAAACTCATGGGAGAAATGGTCTAAATATATATTGTCTAACCCTCAACACCTAACACCTCTATTCTCAAATCTCCCTGCCTTGTATCTCATCTGGTAGAACTAGAAGTCAGCACAAAAGATTGCATGCTCGTATTACCAGGTACAGGAACTCAATGATACCATATTTGATCAGCCTTTGTTGTATGCGATAGAGACAATATTAAGCGTGAAACTTATGAATTACTATGTAGTCAACAAAATAATTGGCTCTTATTATCTTTTATTTCTAATCTATGGTGACACTATCTCAGTTGAACTGACAACCTTAGCTACTAACCTTATCATTGTTTACAACCTTTTTTGTATGTTTATGATTTTACTGTCACTACAAATACCAAATAAGAACTGCCATTAACAATCCTGTAATATTATCTTTATAACTGTCGTATTATTAATGTTATTTAAGAAAATTAGATGCAGTAATATTATACCAAATGCTGAAAATTCCACACTGTAACATTAGCACTATCTCAGAATAAAGCAAATTATCACTATTAAGTGCAGTTTATCAATCGCACTACTAATACCTTACAAATCTATGAAGTCCAAAACTGGTGAACTAAACCATATAAGGTGGTATAAACTTCCTGACCTCAAGAACCTAAAAACATTAGTGATATGGCTTAAAATCCATATTAGTTTGTTTATTAGATATACCACACACACAGTGAAACAGTATCATTATTTACTGAATGACGTTTCGAACAAAATTTATTTTTCCTATTCATATCAATTATAATCACACGACTTCGATACTTGAGTTTTATGGTTCTCTTTCTTCTCTCCTACTTGTCGTCGTAAGGGTAGTAGAATTTTCCAGATGTCTGGGACAGGTGTTGAATCATTCCTATTACATTTAATTCGATAAACGAATCTTCAGTTATCAATCTCTCCCTCCACTCTGTTACATCAGATTTTAAAACTGTCATATTAACCCATCCTAGTGTGTAGCTGTGTGTAATTGCATGTGGTGAGTGCCATCTACGACTGAACTATTCTCTAGATTTCTTATCTTATTTGGGTCAACCAATCTAGATTTTGCTAGGTTTTTATGTTCGGCTAGTCTGACTGCCCCTGTTCTACTAGTTTGACCTATGTATTTGCCGTGACAATCATTCCAGCAGGGTACACAGACTAAGTTGTTTTGAAGGCTCCACAGAATTTATCCTTTGACCGACAAAGCTTGTTTCTAATTGAGTTTTTGGGTGATTGAATGCCACTTTTATACCTGCCTTGTGAAGAATTCTCCGCCGTAAGGTTTCTGAGTTTCTTCTTTGTATGGAAGTACTTCTGATGGTGATTTAAATTCCATACTGTTGGTGTTGTCATTATCTTGCGCATGTTTGCCATGCATGTCGTCATTACTATCATTATAATCACTAACTTCTATCATTATTTGTTTTATTTTTACATTTTCTTACATAATTCCTGATCAATTTATCCGGGTAATTATTAAGTCTCAAAGCTTCTCTTATATGCCCCACTTCCTGTCATAGATTTTCCTTGGTACTACTTAGTTTTGTGCCCTATTATCACTTAAACATCTCACCAATCCTATTTTCACTGACATAGGATGGGATGATTGGAAGTTCAAATATCTGTTTGAATGTGTGGGTTTCCTGTAAACGCACTAGTGTGTTTAACTTCCCATCTTTCCTTTTTACGTTACAGTCTAACATTGGAAGCCCCCCTTCCTGACTTTCCAATTCATAAGTGAATTGAATTGCCTCCACATTTGAGTTGATGTGTTCGAAAAAATCTATCTATATCCGGTGTTCTAAGCACAGTGAATGTGTCATCTACATACCACCAAAATACTTTTGGCGTCAACTGCAAATACGTGTAATAGGAATGATTCAACACCTGTCCACCCAGATATCTACTAACCATACGACGAGAAATAAGAGAGAACAAAGAAAACTATAAAACTCAAGTTTCGAAGTCGTGTGATTATAATTGATATGATTATGAACGGCAATAAATTGTGTTCGAAGCCTTGTCACCCAGCAAATAATAATACTGTTTCACTGACTGTGTGATATATCCATCTAGTAAACAAATTAATATGGAATTAAATACTACCACAGTGCCCAAGTTTTATGGCTTAAAATCGTTTAAAAAAATCTGTAAATGTATCTTCCAGATTGTAAACAGTTTTCACCAATCTACCATTAACTATTTCTTCGCCTGTGTACATCTTCACCCATTGTAGTTTCATTACACTTTTTTTCCACACTTTTACGAGCTTTCCCAATAGGTGACAAGTTGAACCAACGAACTATTTTGCACTGAGTTCTACGCTTATAAATTAATCATCTCACAACTGATCTGTCTGTTTTCGACATAGAACTTTGAACCGATGTGCAGCAGTTCAAGTCGCCACACTCCCTCTTGTAGCACACAAATCAAGAGAAGAAAGTAGAAGAAATGCATAATAGAGACAGTAAACAGAAGTATGAGACAAAGGAATAGTAATAACGAAGAACAATATAGTTTCATTGGAAATCATAAGTCACAAGGAGTGGATGCAACTGCGACAGCCATTGACAACGAAGATTTTGAGCCATATCACCGATTGTCTCCAGTCATTGGTTTTACCATCCCGAGGACCCCCAACCAGGAAGTCTACACCTCCCTCTCTACGTGGCTGGCTTAAACTAAGTGTTGTGGATTTCATTGACTGGTGACATGTTTTGGTTTGACCGCCGCTAGTTCTTCTCCAACCTGACACTATATCAGGTAACATTGCCCGTTAGCCGAGGAAGGCGATGACTAGACATACGCAACACATGTCCTAACCATCTCAATTAACTGAACTTCACAACCTCGCCAATTGATTTCCCTTCCTTATCTACCACTCGACTGATGCCTGACGTCAATATTGCTCACCTTATTATACCACTTCACACGGGAACTAGAACGCTGACACCTATGATCGAAGACAGCTAATCCTTTCTTGTCTTCCACTCTCAATGGCCAGGTCTCACAGCCAGCCATAAAGGAGCACGAAGCGGACTGATGAGCAGTACACCCGCCCTTTGGTCGATAGTCAGCCGGATATCACGTATACGGCAGAGACCGTGTAAACTGGCATATGCGAAACTAGCCCTGTATATCCGTACTGAGATTTCGTCAGAGATCAACCCGTTGGCACTGGCTGATGGTACTTTCCAAATAAATGAAGTACGTGGTCAATATGCTTACCACTTCACTCCTTATTTCTAAACTAGGAGTCAGTGTGGTCCAGTCCTGTAACATCATCTTACATTTGACAGGAGCGAATCGCATTCCAAACATTCGTAGATTGCAGCTCAAGGTGTTCAGAAGACTCTGCCTCATATTGTTAGTGTCTTAATCTAGGAGAGAGGACTATATCATCTGCATATTATAAGTTAACGAGATTATTCACAACTGATAGGTGTTTAATTTACCAATAGACTGACAAAATAAAAGGTACAGTAAGACACTAAAATTCAGCCTTTTCCTACACAGGTGAATTCATCAACAAGAGAATAAGACTACCACCAAATCACGTACTATAAAGCAAGCCATAATATAACACAAGAGATTACTCAAATATCACGCTGTTATCCAACAGCATCATTCCACGGACTAACATTTCAATATAAATGCATATAACAATAGTAATACGCTTAAAAGAATGCATTATGGCCTACCTTCCACTCCACGGTGCAATAACACCAGCATAGGTAAGTCCAACTACAGCAAGGAAGATAATTCCAGCAAAGAAAACAGCTCCAAATGTGAAAAGTTGTCTTAGTGTATTACTAGGAACACGACTTTGCAAATATTTGAAGAAAGCGACAACCTGAAAAATTAAAAATAATATACGTGATGCTAAATATCCTTATGAAATTAGCTACACAAATAAAGTGATACTACAGTATGTCTTTGATAAGACGTAGGGGTGAAAAAGTGCTACATTTCATCAAAATAATACCATGTGTTCACCTGTCAACAAAATATACGATACCATAATTTAGACGTGTCAATACCCATGGATTACTAAAACAAATTTCAAACCATAACTTATAAAAATTGTCTTAAAAATTATAACAGTTTTGTGAACTCCAACTCAGAAGGATACACGAGCTGGATGAGATAAAATCCTAAAGGAAGGCATACCTATCCTCGAGACAACTAGGAAACGGAAATGGGTGACTCAACTAAATTTGAGAAGTGGTGACAAGTCAAATTATACACTTCAGCTAACAGACTACTTAGAGAGAAAGAGCTAATTAGAATTCGTCATCTCACACAATAGTGGCTTTGTTATCAGGATACACTAACCTGATAGTGAGCAAAGTTTCAAATGTCCGTTATCTAAAAAATACAAATTACTTTGACTGGTCGATATCCTAAATTCACACCATTTATATTTTGTATGACAGTACTTAACACCATGGGAGATATGAACACTGCTCGTAGTTACAGCCGATAGCTACTATCTTGACGTGGTGGTCGGAATTGCATACCGCAATGACCTCCAACGAGCTACACTGGCTGGAATTATTGCTCCTGCAGGTTCTACCATGCCAGGAAGGTTGTTAGGATAGCGATTAAACTAAAAGCAGTTACCGGTATTCTTTCTTACACTATGCTGGGGGTTTAAGGGCATAGTCGTACTGCTGGGGAACAGGGGTGTAACAACAGTGAGGTGTTTCCCTCAGACGACCAGCATGCCAGCTATGCTGTCTCTTCACTCCGGAGAGGGGGTTAGAAAAGGTCGACCCCAAACATTGTACATCCTGACTTACTCTACGGTGGTCCATAGCCGGCAGTAAGTTACTAATACGGAACCAAACCAAAAAACCAGTTACGACTGAATTTTAGATGCATGTTAGGTTCATTAGTATAACGAATACTATAATCACAATTAAGTAGTCAGTAAGACCTACGGACCTGACCTATCCTCTCTTTTCCTTCCCACCAGGTCAGAACACCTTAGAGGACATAGCAGCAGAGTTCAAAAGCCAAGAAGAAATCATATTGCTGTTGAGTACCAGTTTTTACACCGTCATAAACTTTTGGAACCGACTCTTAGAAGAAGTGGTGTCTGCAACCCGAACTGCTTCATTCAAGAAGGGTTTGGACAACCACAGAAATTTACTAGAAAAGGATTAGCATAGGCTCCAAGCCTTCTATCCTTAAACAATAAATCTGAAATCTAAGAACTTGAAACAGGCTGCGTCTCTAGAAACATTATGGCTCTCTCTCATGCAGTGAATAAAACTATTAGAAAGCCCTACACCTTCATTCCTTTGTTCATGAAATCCCCTTATCACACTGTAGTGGGACAGTAATAGAGATCAATACAGAATTGCATCAAGTTGTGATATGTAATTTCCTCAAAGGTAGTTTAAACATTGAAATAGAAAACAGTAATATATTATATTCCTTTTAAAATAAACAAAACCAGCTTACCTGAAGAAGAGCGAATACTCCAACTGATGCCATATGTTCACTTGTACGCAAAGGTTGAAAACCAACAAATGGTATTTGCATTGACATTAACAATCCCAAGACAAAAAATGTTGTATAAGCTACATACAACTTAGCACTATAACGTTGCATAATAAGTAATACAAAGATGTGCAATGGGATAAGATTTATTATAAAGACATAACCACCCCAGGCAGAAACCATGTAGAAATAGGAAAGTGCACAAAATGCCGCCCAAGAAACTTTTCCTGTTTTCACAGCTTTAATCCATAAATAATATGTGAACATAAGTGCAAAGATGGCGATTCCTTCGTTATCATAACTTCCAGCCGTTGAACGACTTATATAACCGGGTGCTAGAAATAAAATAATAAATCATACTTAACAAACATTACCTATAGCAATAAAACAAGCTGCAAACAATCCTGCTCCTTCATTCCATATTTCTTTCGTGAAAAAATAGGTGGCTACAGCAGTCATTCCACTGAAGATAGGCGCAAGAAACACACAGACTTCACGAATATGAACCGGGAAACTCAGGAGATGACACACATAGTGAATGAATCCTTAAAGAAATACATAGGTAAACGCAAATCATCACAAACCTGAAGTTATCATTAAACCAGGATAAACAGTCCCTCCGACAATTCTTCCTAAAGGATACCAAGCAGTGCTATCAAACCAATTATAAAAGCTCTTGAAACTATTCTCAACCATTTGTTTCGTCGCCCGGTAGTTGAACCATGGATCAAACTCATGGATGACACTTTCGAAACGGATTACTGAAAAGAGACGTATGCTGAACCCAACAATCCATGCCAGAAGTAAAATGCAGAAAGTCACAAGTCCAGTACGGCCCTTAGTTGAGACTGAAGACAATCTTTTCACAGCCAAACCAAACATTTCTCACCAACCCGAAAATCGCGGGTTGACGCAGTGCTTAGAATGTTGACACGTGTGAGCCAATTTCCAACGTTCTAGGTCATGTACAGTGACACGTTTAGAATAATCAGGATTGATAAATTATCAATATTAGGTATCAGCTTACAAACTTTGATTGATAACCCTTACACAACATTTCCATAAAAAGTAATGGTAGTATTGTTTCAGCCAGCTCGATTTCCGAGAGTAGTAGCCATTGGGAGACAGTAGCAAACCATGGCTAGCTAAACAGTAATCTCTGCTCTACATTCCTGACTCCAAAATATATTCCTCATTTCGGATGATCGGTTTGTTGTCTTAACTTAACCTCTGAATGGTGGTTTCGTCTAAGTGGAATAAGCGCTTTGGGAGTTGGAAGCTGTGAAACTGCACTTACATATGCCGTATCTTACATACTCGTCTATATTAACCACCCTCTGTATTCCTAACAACATAGGCTCCGAAAACCTTCAGCCTTCTAAATTTCTTGTCTGGCTAGTGTTCTTTTAACCAGACAATGTAAAAACACGGTTTCCATGTGCTTGGAGTTACTGATCCACATTCACAACTCCTAGCCGTTATACATGCTACGTCGTGACAATTACACAAGTGCACTGCCACCGCATGATCACCCTGGAGGTTAGTATCCCCTATGAGATGTTTAAGAAACAGTCCTAATGGGAAAAAGTCTCTTAGGTGGCCAACGTCTCAACTAACCCATGCACAATATCGAGCTTGGAGAGAGTTTGGTTGCAAACATGGTTTTACGAATACGTGAAGTCATAGGCCAATGCTAACTCGATAGTGCGCTGTTTGCAGAGTTCTTTCTGGCTAAACTGCCAGTCCGCACAGAATGTGCTCCCGACACTTCAAGAGGTCGCCATCGATGGTTGCGATGGCAATTTCTGTAATATTTTCGATCGCTCGCGATGTCAATGTAGTTGAAGATTGAACGATCAATTCATGATTGTTTGCTCAAACCCAATTTCCCCATATTTTCGCGGAGGCATCAATCTACCAGTCATCGTCTTATCGGTCGCTGTTCAGAAGGAAGATCAAAAAACCGTCAGAAATCTTAGTCTGTAATGCCAGTGTTGCTGGTTATATGTTGGCGTTAGAATAAAGAATTCTTGATTTGCCAAACGGTGTTTTGGTTTTTGCGTCGGTTAATACTAAGCGATTCTGAAAATCTTCGAGGGGCACTGTGAGGCCCAGCGGAGGAAGAGCTGGACATTAACGGTTTATGAGATGTGATTGACACTCGACATCCGAGTACAGGCTACGAATCTACAGTGTTATTTAACTCTTATAAAAGAATTCCTAGGTCAGCCGGCTCTCGCAGACTTTCCAGGGGATGGAAGAACCCCACTCGAAACTTTATAAACAGGAGCCCATGCCAATGGAAGTGAACATTGAACGTTGGTTCATTGGCCTTGGTCGTAATCAGTGGGCAATTCGAAGGCGCGAATGGTTCAATCGTTTACAGATTCGAAGAAGATGAACGAAAACGAATAAAAGTACTTCATAGTTTGTGTAGAACTTCTGTTTACAGACTATGTACTAACCCTCGATTTTAATTCCCAAATAATACAACTTCCTTCTTACAACCCCTGGTGTTTTGGAGTTAAAGTCGAGAACCACTCGTAGTATTTATCGGTTTGGAGCGTCTTTGCAACCATAGGAACTTAGGGTTAAGTTCCTCGATAACCCACCCTAGTGTTGTGGAATAAAGTGATTATTATTATTATTATTAACATCGTGATACCTGCATCCAGGAAGCTTGCCCCTGCCGAATTCTCTGCAATTTTTGAAGACGCCCTAACGGCGACCGTAATCTGTAACCTTAGGAGTTTGCTGCACGCCTGGTGTGTCGTTAGTAAACCGCGGCGCCTTGTTGTCCCTGATGTACAAGTCAGAGACAAATCACTGTAAGGAACAATTCGCAGACTGTAACTGGAAAACTAGTTGCAATTTTCTGGGGAAGGTGAGTGTCCCATCTGATATGCGAAACTTGTGCTTTATGTATCATTTTGCAACTAATGTAGTTCAGGCCGTTTTTGGCTCACTAAACTACTGTACACTTTTTGTCTGAATGCACATATTTGTTAACCGCAAGTCATTTTGGGTTCACCCATAATGTTCTTAGTGTTTGGTTGCCGGATAACCTAATATTTGAAGGTTTGCACCCTGTTTGTCAGATGCATTCTTTCCAATAGAAAAATAATCCTTCAGTCCTTCAACCTCCTGTTACCAATGTAATTCTCTTCAGAACCATTCGGTTTTGTTTTGGATTTCGGTGTTGGAATGCGAGTTCGTTTCTTCAGAGCGTTATTCGTGCATTGGCTGTAACAAGGTCCTTCAAATTTGGTTTAGCTGTGGCAACTAGTCTATTTATATGTTTACTCAAACCTATCCAGTGAATTTCCTTTCTTGCTGATGCTACAATGCCTATCAAGTGCATGGTTTAAGTGTAGATGTCCGCAGACAACAAATGTCAGATGGTACCATTAAGCTGTCTAGTGGAAACACCGACACAGGTGGGAAGCTGTTCCTGTTTATGGAAATCGTAACCGATTTCACCTTCCTTTTTACAAAGACATTTACGGAGACTGCTGTCCCATCAGTCAGAATTGGTGTGAGTCGATACACCAGTCCTGACCCACAAGCCTCACATAGCACTCAACCGGCTGAAAACCCGCTAGCACTCGAGGAGGCAACTGGAGCCGTAACGGCAGCAGGAGATTGTGGCAAGGCAGAAAAACACGTTCCACACGGACAGCGAAGTTCGCAGAGCACCTTCATATTCATGTTACAGCCGTAGGCAAACGTGACACACATTTTTAAAGTGTGCTCCATGTCACATGTTAAACTAAATCGCGTTCATGATTTTATATGTACCGTGATGACTGCCTCAAGAGACTAAATTTTTCTGGTTGTGCCTGTATGCCCAAAATGGAAAATAGTGGATTAAAATGTCTGTATGCGCCTCCACATAATAAAACTGTTGTATACACTTAACTTGCCTAAAGCACTAAACTACTATCTTTATTTACAGTGACGTGGTGTTTGCGTTCCCCTCCATATTACAGCCCAACCCTATTGACTGTTGACTTTTTGACTTGCCAGTGAAGACAGCGCCTCTCAAAGGTCAATTAAAGTCATATATGCGGAATCGGTCTCAAGCCTTTTAGCTGTTGATTCCGGAGTGTAAAAGCCCACCTGTCAGCATACTGTTTTCTCTTTCTTGCTCAACGTGTTGGGGATATCGTGTCATGTTGGTCGTCGTCGCGAATAGTGATTAGAAGGTAAACCCGCAAATCTACTAAGTAGGAAAATTCGATAACACAAAGGACTCTCAAACTACGAATATATATTGAAGGTCGCATCATCATCCTTCTCTTCCATTTACTTGAGAAACCTGCTTCTGCTGGTGAACTTTACTAATGCAATAATAAAAGGGCATGCGTTTAGATTCCACGCCATCTCCAGCTTTACATCCCTCAATAATATAATAATATATATTTATTCCTTTCTATGTAGGATGATATATCTTTTCCACACTTACCCATTGTTTTTTTCTTCAGTTGCATTGGAGAGAAGGTGTCGTCGTCCCCCTCCATTTTAGCGGTTGACACTGATGTAATTAATCAACATTCTGGCTAGGCTTTCTTGCTCCGACAACGCCAACATTTTCCGGCCACCCCTTCTACTTCTGTACCATGTAGTGCCCAATCCTTCTCTAAAAGTTTTAGAACTCAAGTAGGACCCGCTTGGCCCTCACGATCAAATCAGATTCTAATGATTGACTCATATACGTTACGTTAGGATGTACACACTTTGGGGCATCCCATTTCAGAGGAGTTTCTGCAACTGACCGGTAGTGCATATATTATTAAGGGATTTTTTTTGATGACTGTTCCATTGGCATATAGATTCTGCTACATCTTCCGGAACATAAATAAACCGATACTCAGGGGTCAGGCTATCAGTTGACGAAATTCTTCTGGCCACAAGGGCCTTAGGTCGCTAATCTGTACTGAGTATAATACAGGATAATTTTTGAGTCCGTCTGAAATGCCACCTTTATAAAGTTTATGTCCGTTTCCGCACACATGAAGCATGACAGGCACTAGGTTTTTTGACAGTTTTTTTCTTTTCACTGTATTCAATATCATGTATCTTCGAAAATTTACTCAGACTGTGAGGGTCGCGTCAGGAAAACCACTTCTTGGCTTTTCTCAGTTGTTCTCTGGCGGTCTTAGTCAAAATCGTCCGGGCAAGTTAAAACATGTTTGAGGAACTGGCCTTGTGTTTTCATTGAGATCTGTTTTCCCGTTACTTCTCACACTGTTTTAGCTACTCGCGATACTTCTCCCAACAGATGAATTAATTTTTTGGAGCTGGATGCGCTTCCAGTGACTAAAGTCTTATCAGCTATATCTGCCGACTCATTTCAACATAGACGGCAAACCAGATAACTGAGGGTTTAACACAGAGTGGTCTCAAAAGTTAGTTATGTCTTCTACTGTGGTATCGACAAGACAAGTGTATATTATTGAACCTAATGTTGGTGACGAGGGACCTCATATCCCTAACTAAATTAATTACGAAATATCCTCCTGGCCCTGTCATATTAGAGCTCCAAAGGAGAAGGTGCTGCTTAGACTTCCGGGGATGGTCTTCAAGAATCACAGCAGGCACATCAACATCCAACTATTTTCTGTTGTTCTGAAATCTTTGGCGTGCGTGAACCGTCTGACAGACATCTGATGCCAACCAGAATTATATCGCGAGCGTGTAAGCTACTAAAATGAAATACTCGGAAACTTGCAACGAGGACACGAATTCATGACATGGTTTTTGCGTCGGTTAATACTGAGCGTTTCTGAAAATCTTCGAGGGACAGCGTGAGGTCCAGCACAGGATGAGCTGGACATTGACGGTTTATGAGACTTGACTGATACACTCCGTTTTGAAAATTTCCATCGGTCGTCATCGACACGTGGATGCCAACCTAATGCCAAGTTTGGAACGCGAA